AATATTACAAAAAATAAAAATATATGTACGATATTTAACATTTTTCAAAAGTTTAGGAAGCAACCTGTTAAGTAATCAAACATTCCGTTAGTCTAGCTCATTGTCAAATAGATCATTTTAAAACAAAATTCATAATTTATAGATTATTTTTAAAAAAATTATTTTTAAACTAAACTTAAATAAATTACATAATTAATAGATTATTTATTGAATTTGGCCCTTCAAATTCAAAAAAAAGTAGATGCAAATACACATGACAAAATTGAACTCAATTAAAAAATTTGACTTAATTAAGTTGTTAAGGGTAAAATTATAAATTTAAGATATTAATTTAAATTTTAATATGATTTAAATCAAAATTATTTAAATTTAATTAGATTGACACAGGGACCCAACTTAAATTGATTTAATTAAAATTAATTAATTTTTTAAAATTTAAAATTATAGTTAATTATACTTTTAATTTTAAATTTTTAAATATAAGATAAAGTTAAATATCATAAATAATTATTATTTATTAAATTATTAATCTAAAATTAATTTAACACATTTTATATTAAAAAATTTATTAATATTAATTTTTTTTTAAAAATAAAAAAAAATAATTTTTTTAAAAATTTAAATCCACTTTACTTAATCCAAAATGAGTAATAAATTTACTCTTTTAACTCAAAATTTAAAATAACTCAACTTAATAAATTTAAAATTTGAGATAATACAATTCAAATTTATTCATTCTAGCTTATTTGTGAAGTTTTAAATGCAAATAAAAGGAATTTTATATAAAGAAAAATAAATCTCAATCCATTTATGCATACATAAATTTTAAATAAATTATTTTTCATTAATTTTTAAATTTAATTATCAAAATAAAATAAAATTATTGTCATATGCTATATTGTTAATATCATCCTATCTTAAAACTAATGATTATTATGCCTTTTATAACATTTCTAATTTTCTTTCCTCATCTTTCTTCACTCTATTTTACTTTACATTTTCCCTCTGTTTTTCTCTACCTTCATTGCCCATCTAACACAGATGGATTAACAAACCAAAAATTAAAACCATTAATTTCCTTCAAAAAAAATTTTTTTTTGTGGCCGATTTTCTATTTTTCTCCAAAAAAAAAAAAAAAAAGGAATTTCAAAGGTACAAAGGAAGCCACCGCCCAGTCAACCATAGATCGCAAGAAAATCTCCTAGATATTGTCAGTGGACTCACCGCTAAAGTTATGGCCGAAAGATTTTGACACGCCCTCACACCCCCAACCATATATCCATTATTTATAAATATTGTATTTATTTAGATAAATATTATATTTAAATTATAAAAAATTTTGATAACTAATGACTATAAAGATAATATATTTATAAGTATTAAGTTAAATAATAAATATAAAGATTTAGAACTCTTTACTCAATTTATTTAATTGTACTGATATGTTATTTATATTTATATAATTAAAATTTTATATATACTTATTATATTTAATAACTATATAATAACAATAATTTTTAAAAATAAAAATAATAAACTATAAAAAAAAAAAAAAAAAAAACCATATACACCGCTTATAAGTAAGAAACTTTAAACAAAACACATAATACATTCAAGACAACAACTTTTTTCCTTCCTTGCATTTTAGTTAATGGTGAGTACATACAACTTTAAAATTTTATTCTTTTTAGCTTTTTTTTACTTTTCTATTAATAAATTTTGAGCCATACTTTTTGTTTACTGTATAGATATTTTTTAGTCTCAAACTTCAAATTTAACATAATAAAAATCATAAATAAAAAACATGGATATCAAGATGTTAAAATAGATATAATACTATCAATCATTTTCCCTTTCTAACAAATTGAAGCAAAGGATTGAAGGACTATAAGCTCAAATACTTGGACATCTTCTTTGAAAGATTTTCATTTTGTTATTTAATTTCTTTTCTTTCTTTATTTTTTGATACATATTTTTCATTCTTTATTATTAATTATTTAACTGAATTCATTTTTTTAATAATACATAAATTTGAGTCGTGGATGTGAACCAAATTTTAGCTTTTTATTGTAATTTTAGATTATATTTAAAT